CTTTTACTTTTGAGTTTCAAGAATTAATTTTAAAAATGGAAATTTTAACTCAAAAGTTAAAGAAATATTATTCGACTCAAATCTAAAAATTAAAATCATTAAATTATAATTATGAAAAAGAAAACAATATTAAATTTTATCTTAAAGTGTAAAAGTCAAAATATTAATTTGTGATTAGAGTGTCCTAATCATATAATTTGCTTAGATTTAAGTCTCTAAATAAATAATTTTATTTATTTATTTTTCGGTAGTCACAATAGGTTTTATACAAAATTATGTAAGTCTACTTACAAATGAAGACTTGGCTTAGTGGCAATACTTGTTTTTACTCCTCCATGTTGCATGATATGGGTTCAAACTCCACCTCGCTTAACTTGTTGAAATTTGTTTTTCCGGTGCATTGGACGAAAAAATGCTATATTAAATAAACTAAAATTATATAAAAAGCTCTCTAATCATATGTCATACGATTAGAGAATTAAATTTATTGAATTAAATTAAATTAAGACTAAATTGAAAAAATGTAAAAATGTCGAGGATCAAATGTGAAATTAAATTAAGAATAAATGAAAAGGGTTATAGTTGGGTGGTCTCTAGTATACTTTACCCTTGAATTAATTCCATTTATTAATAAAAAAAATCAAGTCTGATCATTGTATAAGATGGAAGTCGCTTGGAGTAAATATAACAATCGTCATTCCATTTGGATTACGCATTCATTTCAGACAAACCACACACAGCCTTTGAATTCCAAATCTTTGATTCAGATTCCTTTGTTTTTCCAAATAAATTCTCCGTGAAAGTAGTGTTCGTTGTTTTTGATTTCATTAATGATGGTGACTTGTGGTATGGAAAAGAAGGAAGAGTGAAGAGTTGTGATTTTTGTTGAAGTGGGGTTTTCTTTTTCCTTGTTCTTTGAAATGGAGATTTCAATAATGCTTCACGTTGGATTAGTTTTGCTGCTGCTTCGGATGCATTCTCACTATAATCTTTGCCATCCACTTGCTAATTTCGTCTCTCTCATTGACCTTTATTTGGTAATTAATTCATATATACTTTTTGGGGAAAATGATCTTTTGTTTATTTTTGAACTTGGCTTGCACTTTTTTGTTACAAGAACTCCTTTAGTGTGTATGTTCGTTTCTTCGTTGATCGAAGGTTCATGAAAGCTACGTGACGAGATTGAAGAAGAAATTGGAGTTCGAGGAAAAAAGGGGTGAAAAAGAAGAAGAAAGAGGGGTGGGTTAACGGGGTTAACTGCTACGTCAACAAAAATTAACGGGAGCTAACGTAGGGATAGAAATGAAAATGAATTAAAAGTTTGATGATTGTATTGCAAGTTTTTAAAGTTAGGTGACCAAAATGTAAACATCCTAAAAGATCAGGGACTATTTATATATTTTACCCCACCAATAATAATAAGTGCGTATATCGTAGTTTTATATCACATAGACGGAGGAATCAAAGAATAATTTATGTTATAATTAATATATTTTCAACCTAAGTAAATGAAATTAATTTAAGGGTAAAGTATAGTAATGGTCACTGAACTTTTCTAAGCTTTCATTTAGGTCCCTCAACTTTTAAAACTTGCAATACAGTCCCCCAACATTTAGTCCGTTTGCAATATGGTCCCCCAACAGTTACGTCGGGGACCACATTGCAAACGTACTAAATGTTGAGGGACCATATTGCAAACAGACTAAATGTTGGGGGATTATATTACAAGTTTTAAAAGTTTGGGACCTAAATGAAAGCTTTAGAAAAGTTCAGTGACCATTACTATACTTTACCCTAAATAATAATATTTAAATGATTTATAAATAAAAATAAATTTATAAATGGGTTAGGATCTACTTACACAATGTAAAACTCTTTAGTTTTATACATATTTAGGATCGTTTGATGAGTGAAAATCTATATAAAACTAAAAGAATTTTACACTGTGTAACAAGATCTTATCCCTTTATAAATTCAGATTCAAATGGAAAAAAAAAACTATAGATATTTGTTTATAAATGGGTTAGGATCTACTTACACAATGTAAAACTCTTTATTTTTACATATTTAGGATCGTTTGATGAGTGAAAATCTATATAAAACTAAAAGAATTTTACACTGTGTAACAAGATCTTATCCCTTTATAAATTCAGATTCAAATGGAAAAAAAAAACTATAGATATTTGACTCGTAAAAAATTCAGATGGTGCTAAATTCTGGTCTTTATACTAGCAAATTCTTGTTGGCATGCTCATAAAACACAAACTCGGATCATAATATGGAAAATACAAATAATTTATTGGGAGATGAGTACTTCAGTTTTAGGACATTTACGAATGTAATAATAGTTGCTCATGTTTACATCTTAAATAAATGAATTCGTCAATGTTAGAAATAACAGTCACCTTGGGTAAATCATCAATTGGATACTTGCACAACTTCTGGATATGTAGAGTGATATCGGCACAACTTGCCGATCCTTCTGTTCTGCAGTAGGTTAATAGCGTCAAGATGTCTCCAGCTGTGTGATATCCAGGTTTCGGGCACAAATCATCCCGGTATATATACCCCAGAGCTCTGCTTCAAGAGTTGAGCATATTCCAATGTATTTGTAAAAACCTAATATCTATTTACTATCGTGGTCTCTTATTACGCCTCCACATGATGAGCTGCAGTCTACCAAACTCCGACTTGCATCAGTGTGGCCTTTAACCAATCTGCCAGTGGTCGGGACCAAGGGCTTGGTGTGGTGTTTTCTTACCTGCTGCATCGGGGTTATAATCTTTAATGCTCCACGGTTGAAGTCTGCGACTTTTCTCAAGCATTGTCCCAGCTTCTTCCGTTGGAGAGCCAAACGCCATGCATTCCTATTGATCCATAGATTCCACAGAATCGATCCATACAATATTTCCAGTTCTGTTCAAAATAGCTTGGGTTGGAAAGGTTGTTTAAACCCAGGCTGTATCTCTATGGAGAGGAATTCCCATATTTTGTCCGATTTAACTAGTGCCATCCAAATGATTAACGCTTGTGAGCACCAGCGCAACATGGTTCACGTCTTCAGGGGCCTTTGCACAAACGGGACATCTACTGTCGGTCGAAGTGTTTACGGACTCATTCCGCGTTCGTCATGATTTGTCTTAAATGCAAGCCATATGAAGATTTTCAATCTTCGCAATCCCCTAAATTTATTGTCTTCCATAATATCTCATTGTTACCCTCGTCCGGGCCAAGTCTTAACCCATATGCTGATTTGATCGAGAAAAGGTGATTGGCAGTGCCTTTCTATCCTATTGTATGTTCCGCGGCTATAGATCCTGGTCCTTTGATTGCTGCTAAGCGTAGCAGGATCAGATCTGCACCTGTAATAGGTGCTGAAATCTGTTCCATTCTCACTCCCTGAATGCTCACCATAAATTATTAATTAATTTAAAATAGAGATTATCACTCTCAATTAATGATTTATTAACTTAAACAAGTTTTTAATTATGAAAAATCAATTTAATACTATGATCAAATTGAATACAAATACTTATTTATAAATTTTTTAACGTTATTAATATAATAATTATATAGTAATATGGTAAATAATATTTTTTATAACATTTAGATAACATGATAAAATTAATTATATGAATTTTATGTAAATATTTTTAATTTAATATAAAAATTTAAATAACTAAAAAATATAAACCATAAATTCAATTTGATAAAATTTATTATTATATAATTTTATATTTTCAATAAAAAACATTACTATCAAATAAATTAAAACAAAATATCATATACTTTACATTTAAATCCTAAATTTTTTCTAAAGCTTTCATTTAGGTCTCTCAACTTTTAAAACTTGCAATATAATCCCCCAATATTTAGTTCGTTTGCAATATGGTCCCTCAACATTTAGTCCGTTTGTAATATTGTCATTGACGTAACTGTTGGGAACCATATTGCAAACGGACTAAATGTTGAGGGACTATATTGAAAGTTTTAAAAGTTAGGGGACCTAAATGAAATATTTAGAAAAGTTCAGTGACCATTGCTATACTTTACCCTTAATTTAAATCCAGTAGTTCGGATGAGGTACTGCAGAGGCGAGAATAACCTCTCAACTAAATTGTCCTATTACAAACGTCAAGATTCAAACTCCTATATCAAATAATTTATAGTTATCTTTGAACAGATATTACATTTTACTTACCTAAGATTAATAAAAAAAAAGTACATATTCAAACTCTAGACGTTGCTTAAGGTGTCTAATACTTCATCCCACTAGATCAACTGTTTGTTGGTATAAATATATGATTATAACATTTTATATTTATGTAATAATTAATATATTTTATTACTATTTTTATTCTTATTTATTAATCTTTGAATTTGTAATATAAGTTATAATAATGATTATAAAACTAATACTATTATAACTGATATTAAAAATATATTATAGTTTTAATTTTTTTTTTTTTGAATAATCTAGAACGATTACAAAATAATATTTGATCAATATTTCCTTGACATAATTGTTTGAACCCAAGATATTTAGAGAGGATAATATTGTTTTTTTATCACTTGAGGCCACTCAATAGGTTCAAATATAAATTCAAGTTTAATACTATAATATAAATAATTAATGTTTAATTAATATACTTTTAATATAAATAAAATTAATACACGATCTAGGCTGGATATTATTTTGGCAAGTACAAGTTCAATCCTTATTAAAGCCATGCATGCTGTTCACTTGTTTGACAACAGTGATAGTGATAAAGAGTGACGTCATTTTAAAATAATTTAGGCTCGAACAGTATTATATATAAGATATATGTGAGTTTTATCAACAGACCGTGGTCTAACATGAGATCATATTACAATGCTAAAAAAACATAAAACAAGAGAACTTGAGCAACATTAGCAAATCAACCTGCTTTACTTGAATAAAATTAGCCTCGTAATTTTCTCATATTTTGACTATGCCCGAACAGTTGCTTGTGAATCTAATTACTGCTGTAAACAAAAAACAATTAATAAATGAAAGAGTATTTGGACTTTACTTGGCTTGTAGTTCACGTAGTTTATCTATTCTCATTTCCCCCCAAATTTTAGTCCATCATCTATGAAGTTTCACATCAAATTTCGTTAAAAATCTTTTGTAACACACTTCCTCACACAACCTTCAAAATGCAGCTTTAACATAGGCAAGCTCATACCAGAATAGAATTAGTTGCAGCAGTTACTAGTGTAAAACTTGACCAGAAGACGTTAAGGGATCACTTTCTCGGGACTTGAAGCTTCGTTTCTGTTTGTGTGGAGGAGGGGGCTGATGATCGTTTTTTCCACAAGTTTTAGCATACAAGGAGCCAAATACGATGACCTGATCAAGGCATCGAATATATCATCAAGCCTTCGGAATCAACTAGAATGTAGAATTAATGTGGTTAAAACTTACTGCCCCATCCATTGTTCCCAGCTAAGGGGATGGCCGAACCAGATGCATGACAGCAAGAGCTAACCAGCTTGAACAACGAAAACGAGTTCAAAGAATCTCCATTCAAATCAAATACAGCATTAGGAGGGAATTAAAAAATAAATAAAATGACTCTACCTGTCTTGTGGTCATGATGGCAGCAAATGTGAGAGCACCGAAATTACGGATCGTGTAAGAAATGAGAATTGACTGGTTGTTGCTACCTATAACAGATAATCCCTAAACTTTAGATCCTCGTGGTACTTCTTGATTAGTCGTGGACAATTAAAGATGAGCATGAGTCGATGACCATCATCAGTTAAAGCCTATTAAGACTAGGAACAGTTTTGGCAAAAGATAACTTACAGTTGAGAGTAATACAATATCAAGAAAACAGTCATTGCAGCGATAAACAAAATCTACAGCTGGAAGTAAATGCCCCTGTAATACCAGACCTAAAACATATCGAGAAAAGTTGATCACAAGGAGTGATCAATCGGTAAAACGCAATGCAAACCAATCAAACATATAGGTAAAACAGAAGGAAAATAGAAGGAATTTTACCTGTGAAGCTGAGAACGCAAGAACACAATGTCGTGTAGAATATCTGGTTGTGTATTTCCATATTATAGCCTTTGAATAGTTTATCTTGGAATGTGCTTGTAAAGCCATCAAATCTGTGAAACATAGAATAAACATCTATGCATTGAAAACTATTTCTCCCAAAAGCACTCAGAAAAAGCAATGCTCGTTGAATTGACATTAAAGAAATAGTAGCCTAAAGAATCCTTGGTAAATGTAACACCCTATATCCGGCCACGTAGGATGACCCGAGTAACCTGAGTGCACATTAGGTTCCGAAGCGAATCGGACAGACTTAACCCTAATCATGCATACTAAACAAGAAAATTTAAATTAAACATTCATCATGCGACACACAGCAGAATAACAAGAAAACATGCTTATAAGCATTCAGTTAATCATGCATCGCAAAATAAACTCTATTAACTATGTAGGGGTAAAATAGTCAACTTAACCATAAGTCATGTATCCATTTTGTGCATTGTTGGTCATTTCATGCTTCCTTTGAGTCTAACATAAAATGTCATCTTGTTACAACTTGTCTAGGTGATCAAGACATGTATTTAAGGCATAAATCATACTTTGATCAACTTAAGCATACTTGGTTATATTGCATAACACGTGATCTAGCATCAATATCCATCATTTCATTATTCATTCAAGATTCAAAGTTCAACAGAGGTCATTTATGCCCTAGCGAAGAAGTAAGGTTACAAATCAACACATCCAAATTAAGGATCCCATATTGCCTCAAAATCAAACCAAGGTTCAAAATAACTTTACAATGCCTCCTTGCTGATCAGATTTCATTAATACGATTGTAAACAATGTAATAATACCACTGAGAAATCGGCAATTGAGATTTAGTCCGATCAGGATACACATCTTTATATTTTGAAGATCCAGTTACCAAAAAGGCATCAGTATGTATCTTTATGGTGAGAAAATAAGTTTCCGATCGATACCCAAGAGACCAACCATCAGAAATGCCCCAAACAGTATTTTCTCTTCCTTTTCCGTAAGGACTTAAGTCGATTCCTGCCTACAGTGAAAGAAGAATTAGTTCACAGACAACCAAAGTCATGGCACACAAGAGAAGCAGCTAATCTGCAATTCAAAAATAAAAGAAAGGATCATTCACCTATAGAAATGCATCATGTATGGAAGCAACCATCAAATAGAGAAAACTAACCAATGTCTATTTGTAATACTGTGGTTCAAAGCCGTTTTAAATATATATCCTAAAGTAGCCTCTTCCACACCAATCAAGATCTTATATTAAACCAAAGATTATCATGTTCATAGAATGAATACCAGTTCCAAATTATCAGTAGCATTCAAAAACAAGGAACTGAGCGAGTGCTCTTGGCAAAGACAAGAATTTTACCGGAAATAGTATAAATATTGAACAACCAAGGGTCACCAGAAAAGCAACCAAATAGTCAAAACCCTTGTATGTCTTCTGCATGATGAAAGTGCCCCAAATCTGTTGAAAAAAAAAGAAGATGAAAATTGATCAGAAGACTTTGCCAGTTAAAAACTGATAAGAAGAAAAGAGGGGGACTAGTAATTAATAATTAGCCCACATTGGATGAAATTTTTAAGAGTCCAAAAACTTGCACAACCACTACGAGAAATATATGCATAACCCTTCATTATCAGTCATGCAAAAAACTTACCATAACAGGTATCATTTTCGCACACTTAGCAAGGGTCTGAACTGGGAAGCTTACATACTTGAGGGCCTGGAAACAAAAAATGTTGATATCAAAAATTATTATACCATAGCTGCATCTAAAGGTGATTATTCAGCAAATTTATGTTCAAAATACAAACATTGTGCAGATTAGAGTGTCCATGGAGAGCAACATAAGTGTATCTATATTCCGATTAGGGATAGAGCTTTACCTCATACTGACATGTTGTGGTTAGGATGTTTGTTACTGAAATGAGGCAATACTTATAGACGGGAGCAACAGGATTCAATGCCTTCTTACTTGTCTAGAAAAATACAAGAAACAAAATGATAATTCGGAAGTATGAAAATATGTCAGCCAATCTTGCCATCTTTCCGTGAGATGGTTCATCCGATGGGTTAATTTCATAGGTTCATAAGGACTGCAACTCCTATCATTTAGCAGAAAAAGTTACATACCACTAAAGAACCAGCAGAGACTGCAGATGTTGTGATGCGGTTGCAGAAAACAGAAACAATGAGTACTTAAAGTATCTTTGTTTACCCCATAAGGGACTCTCATGATCCTTTCCTGCATGAGGATAAAACTTCCATCAACATATTGCAAAAGAACAAAACCATACCATTTTTTTCGACAATAACCACATTCACAGAACATGAAGGAAGATCTTCATGCTGCTACTAATAGAATGTCTACAACTCTTGGTATTTATTTAGATACTCTTAAAACAAGATAAAACCAAACTGATTGCAGCTGGAATTAATGGAAATATCCAATTCAAATATAGACCAACGCATCAAAAATAAGAAAATGAACTTGCACTAAAGTAATTACACATGAATCACTCTAATATATATAAGAAAACTAACTTACATTTTTGTGAGGAAATACATAAGAATCATTTTATGTATCTATCACCAAAGCAAACATTCCCCTTTTATTTTCTTTTATATTCAATTTTCCAAACATAGGCATCAAGTATTAAGATCCTCCATTTGCAAATGTTTTACTGAAATTGATAGTTCTAGAAGCTCTGGACAAAGATATTAAAAATCTAGTCTTTCTTTTTATAAACATTTCACGTTCAGAACAAACATTTTAAGTAATATAAAAAAAAACCCAAATCTTCAATCTTATTTAGGTACAAACAAATGAAACAATTAAAAAATTAACAACACAAATCGTACTAATATGCAGACAAAAATAACAAATAAGGAAAGAACCTGTAGAACTCCATAGATTACAAGAGTAATCATGATTCCACTGACAGCGAAAATTCCTTTCCATGATTTGTTGTCTTTCACCTCATCCGCCGTCGGCAATGATTCGGCCATGGCCCATTCAGCACTAGATCCAAAACAGTTTTAGCTTCCTTTTTATTATTATTATTGATATGAGAAGAAAGAGCTCTACAATGCGCAAAGAAAATCACCTGAAAATGAACGGAGGGGATCGAATCAAAAGAACTTTTTATTGCGGGGACACGTGGAAGAAGAAAAGGAACGTGGTTTTATTAAAAGAGGAGGAAGAAACGGAAACTCGGGACTGATAAAACAAAGAGTTTTCGTTTCGAGTTTTGAGCAGATCGGGAATCAGTGTCGTTTTAAGCCTCCGCCGCCTCTCTCTATCTCCCTCAGTTGAAAGACAAAAAAAAAGCTTTTGGCTTTTTCGATGGATAGTAGAGGCGTTTAAAAGCGCTTGCCACGTTAGCAGCCGCTAATTTCCATTTATGTATCATTTTCCCTGTTCATTACAGTGTTTTCTCGTTTTAAAACATTTATTACACAGTTCAAATACAGAATGAGCAATTTAAGGCATTTATTACACTGTTCTGTCTCTTTACTCTGGATTGGGAAAAATAGAAAATGACACTTCATGAGATTTGGAACACTGGATTGTGAGATAACTCAAATTCATTAAGAAATTCTAAGGGTGAACATTTTTTAAAAATTTCGAATTCAACTAATTATATTTTTAGAATATATAAATTTATTGTCAATTTATTAAAATGATTAAATATTATTTCATAATCATGGTAAAGTGTGACTCGAGCATAATTTCCATAGGTATAAAAGAGGACCTTGAAAGGCTTCTCTTTTGTTGTCGCCTGAAAAAACAAAGATTCTTCTTCCCCAACTTTCCCAATCAAAGTTGTAAGCTTTCTCGGTACTACCATGTTTTAATTCAAATCGTGTTTTTATACTTTATATGCTTTGCTAGGATGCAACAACCGGCATAGCGACCGGAGTTTCGGCTAGTTAGTGGGTACATTTTTAGATTTATTGGCCGGTTAATCATAGTCCATTGGGTTTTAGGTGATTAAGAAGCTCATTTTTATAAACCCTGATTCCCACTTCTCCACCTCCAGCAAACCCTAGTGCGGCTCGCTTCCCATCCACAGGTTCGCCTTTCCTCTCGTTTTATCTCTCATTTCTGTCGATTTTATTGTAAAAGAATTCAAGCTTATTTGTTTTGTAATCCTTTTACTGAATCAGGGTTTAGAAGGGTTTGAGGCAGCAACAACCAATGGCTCCCAAAGGTATTTGAATTTGGACATGGCCTTAATTACTTTGCTTCCACCACTTTTTCATTTACTCTTATATATTGGTAATGCTTGTTCCTGTTATTTAGGTTGAATGATTTTGTCATTGGATTATTCTGGTTTATTGTTTGCATGCTAATGAACCTTTTGAATCTGTGAATGGAGAATAGTTTTAAGAATTTATTTTAAGTGATATTCATAGGATATGGTTTTCTGGAATGGTGCTGGAGATGCATTGCTTATGTTTCTTCTAAAATACAACTTTTTCTAAGAATGGGGTATATAGCTTCTTTTGATTAATTATCTGGATTTTTTAATATTATGCAGTTGAGAAGAAGGCGGATCCAAAGGCACAGGCCTTGAAGGGCAAAATCTCGTTGATAGTGCGTTGAAATTTTTTTTTTCGTGAAATAGTGGGATCGCCAGATTAATTGCTAAAGTAGTGTCCTCTACAGTACCGGGGGTAGGTCGCCATGCACGCCCGGCGACCTACCAGGTCGCCATGCACGCCCAGCGACCTGGTAGGTCGCCATGCATGCCCTGCGACCTACCAGCAACGCCCATGCACGCCCAACGACCTCCATGCACGCCCATGAACGCCCAACGACCTCCATGCATGCCCAGGCACGTCCAACGACCTCCATGCACGGCCATGCACGCCCAACGACCTCCATGCACGCCCAGCTCACCAAAGGTCACCATGCAGTCCATGCAGTCCATGCTTGGACTGAACAACGTTGGGCCATGCAGGATAGGTAGCCATACAATCCTCTCCACTTGCAGCTGCTCAGGAGAACCTATTCCTCCTGCTCCTCGCGTGATTCCTCTTACATCTGCTCAGGAGACTCATGCATGCAGCTGTAATAGCTGTATTATTGCAGCATGATTTGAGCTGCAAAGTGTCATAGATTCGTGCCCTAGCTTCTAGCCATAGCTTGTCCCTCATGCCATAGCTTCGAGACTGTTCACTCTTGTTATCATAGCTGTATTGGTGCAGCATAAAATCAGTTGTGTTGTATTATTGCAGCGTTCATCGGTTGAAAAATTTACAGCTTTCAACGTGAATTATACAGCTCAAATTGATTGCAACTTACCTACCAACCGTTGAAAATCATTATATATTGGATATGAGGGGTTTAGGGTAGAATCATAAGAAAGAAAGAAAATTTGGCGAGAGAAAGGAAATGAAAGGAAAATAAGAAGAAGAGAAATGGAGATAAAGGCTCAAATATCGTTTGTAGGTAATTTTTAATTGTTATTTAGTTTATTAATATAAATGAAATAATTAGTTTGTTAGTTTAGGGTTTAGGATAAACAGAAATTTAGTTTATTAGTTTGTTAGTATAAATTTAGTTTTGTTAGTTTAAGTTATTTATTTACTTTGTTAGTTTAGTTATATATAGATTATAAAAAATTAGTAATTAGTTTCTTAGTTTAAGTTATTAAATGTAAAAAATATTTAATTAATTTGTTAGTGTGTTTAACTATATAAGTTGTTTGTTGAAGTTTAAGTTAAATATTAAAAAGTTATTGTGCTTAATTAGTTTGTTAGTTTGTTATTTTAACTAAATTATATTATATACGAAATAGTTTATTAGTTAAGTTATATATAAGTTAGATTATTTAATTTTTTTAATTTTGTTGTTTAAAAGAAATATTTTTTTACACGTACAGAGCATTATTCCACAACATTTTTCCACGTACATATGATTCGAAGAAGAAACAATAAAGGAAGGAAAGAAAGGAAATGAGCACAACTTTTTCACGATTGTCCATTATAATGGAGATTATGGAATGAGATCGGAGTAGTTTTTCAGTCTGAAAAACCAATAAAATATGATGTTCAAAAAAGACATCACATTTATATAGAATGAAGCTAAGATAGAAAAAAATTCGAGTTTGCAGTGATGGTTTGAGGTATAGGTTTATGATATGCCCCAACCCAGTCAAATATGCTGCAGTTCCACTTGAAGAAGATGATGATATTGGAACCATGGTTCGATTACATGAGTTAACCAATTAGCAGTTATTGAGTTATTTGTTGATGTGCATAACATATGTGATGTTCCTGGGTCTCAAGAGGTGTGGCTCAAATCCATCTGAAATGACTTTATATAGTCAGTTTGAGGAGCCGACATACAGGTTCCCGAACAGTTTTATGGCACTATTGGAAAGTGTAAATGAGTCGGGGGGACATCTGCAACAGAAGAGTGTGAGACGAGAAACATACCGGAATTGGTTGTTGATATTGACGCTGAAAATCGATGGGGAGAAATTCATGATGATTCAAGCGAAGATGAAGAAACCGAAGAACCCGTTTTGGGCGGCGACGAAAATATTTTTGGTGGAGGTGCCATTCAAAAAACAATTGTCCTAATTTACCAAGATATAGGCCTCATCATTAGTAATGATATATGTATTCTATGATTTCTATGTATTTATAAGATTTAGTAATGATTAGTAATGATGAAATTATTATTAATATTTAATGATTTAATAGTAATTTGATAGTAATGATTAGTAATAATGAAATTATTATTAATTATGTATGATTTGATAGTAATGATTTAGTAATGATTAGTAATAATGAAATTATTATTAATTTTTAATGATTTGATAGTAATGATTTAGTAATGATTAGTAATAATGAATTATTATTATTATGATTTGATAGTAATGACTTAGTATGATTAGTAATAATGAATTATTATTAATTTTAATGATTTGATCGTAATGATTTAGTAATGATTAGTAATAATTTATTAATATTTAATGATTTGATATTAATGATTTTGTAATGATTTGATAGTAATGATTTACGACTTGAACAATGAACAATGTTTGGTTCAATTAACCATATTTTCGTTACTAACTAGTAATGAAATTATAATAATGATTTGATACTAAAAATCATTAAATATGTAGAATTTGTTAATGTTTGAAAAAACTAGTCTAATGTCAATTAATTTGTAACAAATAACAAACTAGTTTACAATTGTTGCCGATGTCGGGGTGTTGTTGAATGATAATGTTGGGGCGGACGTCTGATGCGTTGTGGCCGTTGCAGTTGCTCAGGAGTATGGTACCCATCCTCCTCATTCGTTGGGGGCATTTGAACTGACATGTGTTCAAAGTCATACGTCGACGAAAACATGGGAGAGTAGATGGATGCATCAGGCTGCACAAACTCTGGTATGTATGCATCGCCGAACGGTTGTGGTGCGCTATTATCCACATCGGTCATTTCCGCTTCAGGTTGTTGAGATGAACCCCCACTCCCACTTGGTATAGAGTATTCAGCTTTACTAAATCTTTTCTTAAACCTCAAAAATTGTCGCCTCTCTACAATTGTTGTCAAGAATGGCTTTCCATTATCCAAAAAATAGGCAAGGTAAGCCGAAGTCTCAAAATTAAAGTCGTCGTCTTGAATGTCGTCAAGAATTGGCATGAATGAAGCCCTATTGTTCCAAGCATTAATGTAGATTGCATGATTCTCAACCCAATTAACATTTTCTTTACGACGACCATCAAATCTGTGCAGCTGGTCATGCGTCTCAACCCAATTCACCTGACGACGACCATCTAAGATTTGGAGGAGGTCATGATCCCATGGACTCCGCGGAATAGGTTGGTGGAAGTGGAATTGCCTCAACACTCTATCCCCAAATTGGATCTCAACAAACGCAAAATTGATCAATGGTGTAACAGCACACCAATATTGACACCCATCTAAAATATCGTGCGGTATTAACACAAGTATTTCTCCATTCATGTATGGTCTCCAATTAAACTGTAAAATTACAAAAACAATAAAATTTATTTAAATCAAATAATATAGTTAATTTAAATAATAATTAAAAATAACAGATTATACATACCTCCTTTTTTGCCTTAATGTCGATCTTCAGCCTGAACTCTTTAATGTTGTTGTGCACCAACCCCGTGCCTTCAATTTTATGCCTCCATCTGTATATCAATCAATATAAAAATATGGTCATTTTTATTTTATAATTAATATTTTATATTAAAATAGAGAATTCATATTACCTTCCGGCAAGCGGAAAGTCAACCGCAGTCCGACTAATCGGTGTCAAAAACGGAAGTCTATGCCAAGCCCATGACTGTAGCAGCAACAGCATCCACCGATTTCTGCTGTATTATTATCATTCACGACTAATGACGCCTTGCACATCTCACGATACAAGAACGCCAATATCGCCGATCCCCAGCTATATTGCCTACTATTCTCAAAATTTCTTAAAAAAGAAGATATTGAGTGTGAACATAACTACCGGATTTATCCGGCATTAAAATACCCCCAATCAACTGTAATATATATGCTCGTGTTGCATATATAATTTCGTGCTCCGTACTATTTGGTTGAAGCTGAAATTCATTCTTCAACCATGACAACCTCACACGCCACCCTTTACACTCTGGTGGTACGGGCGTTTTCCCAAGAAACAAGCTACAAAGTTGTGCCACATTATTAAACTCATGTGACGTTACCACTGGCATCCCATTTGTTTGGACCCCGAGCTGTAATGCCACATCCTCCAGAGTTATGGTACATTCGCCACACGGCAAATGAAACGTGTGCGTTTCTGGTCTCCAACGCTCAATCAGGCACTGATCAAACCTGGGACCAACTTGTATCTCGCACAAATGTTACATACCAAAATCCAGCCTCCTGCAAGTTTTCTTCTATCAATCTATGTGGCTTGGGCACTTTATGTAGCCGATGACGAAGGACTCGTTGCTCGTCCTCCTGCAATTAAATATTTCAAAAGATTTATCACAATCACAAAATAATATTCAAATATTTATTAATTATAATTCATTAAACAAATATTTTATTCACCATTATTCCCAAATGACTTGAAATATGTTCATTTTCAAGTCTCAACAGTGGAATTTGGTCAGCCATTGGAATGAATCTGTACAAAAGTAAACAACAATATTTAAAAATTCATTTAATGTAACTAATATAATCTAACTAACTAACTATTTTACAACACAACAAAAAATTTAATATAATAACTTATAATATATTAAACTAATAAACTAACAAACTAAACTTTTTAAAATATAAATTAAACGTAAATTTTCCCTTAAACAACTAATAACTATTCTTTAATATAAATTAAACTAATAAATGATTTTTAATTATAATTTACTAAAAAACTAATTAACTCATTTTTTATATAATATAAATTCAACAAACAAATATAACTTAACTATTTAACTAACACAAACTAATTACATATTTTTTATATATAACTAACGACTAACAACTAACTAAATATTTTTATTAATATGTAACTATTATGCATGCTAATTACATAATTTTTTATTTCTATATGATATAACTTAAACTAACAATAATATAACTTAAACTAACAAACTAATTAACTAATTTTTTGTTTTACCCTAATTTATAATAATAAACTAATTAACTGATAATTTATAACAATAAACTAATTTAAATAATTATTCTTTTATATAACTTAACTAATAAACTATTTTTTATTATAATAAAACTTAAACTACTAATAAACTAATTTTTATATATATAAATTCACAACCAAAATATAACTTAACTATTTAACTAACTACAAACTAATTAAATATTAGACTAACTAACACTAATTAATTTTTTTAATATATAACCATCAAATAAACAATTAAATAATTAACTAAAATTTTGTTTTAACTTAAACCATAAACTAACAAACTAATAATTTAAAATAATAAACTTATTAAAATAATTAAAAAAAAACTTACCTCGATGTTGTGCTCTCCCTTTCTTCTTCCTCCTCTTTTCTCTGCTATCTTCTCCTTTGCTATTTTCTCCCTTTCTTTCTCTCTTAATTGCCATCCATCCAATATATAATACAACAACCGGTATTGCTTCAATTATAGGTGGCCGATTCACGTTCACGGGGCTGCAATAATGCAGCAATAAGTGCTGCAATAATGCAGTTGATTTCACACCCATGTTGCTGCAATAATGCAGCTGATTTCACGCTGCTGGACCAGAGACGCAGAGGCAGCAAAGTGGGGCAAAGTCATAGGTCGTCCAGACGCATGCCACGTTGCCCTGCAGAGACTCCAACCTCGCCCAGGGCCAACCCTAAACCACCAACATTGTTCAGTCCAAGCATGGACTGCATGGTGACCTTTGGCGAGCTGGACGTGCATTGCATGGTGACCTTTGGCGAGATGGGCGTGCATGGGCGTGCATGGGCATGGAGGTCGTTGGCTGGTAGGTCGCAGGGCATGCATGGCGACCTACCAGGTCGCTGGGCGTGCATGGCGACCTGGTAGGTCGCCGGGCGTGCATGGCGACCTACCCCCGGTACTGTAGATGACACTACTTTAGCAATTAATCTGGCGATCCCACTATTTCACGAAAAAAAAAATTTCAACGCACTATCAACGAGATTTTGCCGGCCTTGAAGGCTGCAAAAGCAGTGAAATCTGGACCGGGTTTTAAGAAGAAGACTAAGAAGATCCGAACCAAGGTTACTTTTCACAGGCCAAGGACCTTGAAGAAAGATAGGAACCCCAAGTATCCACGCACCAGTGCTCCACCAAGGAACAAGCTTGATCATTATCAGATTCTCAAATTTCCCCTCACAACCGAGTCAGCGATGAAGAAGATCGAGGACAACAACACTTTGGTATTCATTGTTGATATCCGGGCTGACAAGAAGAAGATAAAAGATGCTGTGAAGAAGATGTATGATATTCAAGCCAAGAAAGTTAACACCTTGATTAGGTAAAAGAAAAAACTTAATTTGTGCTTGCGAACTATTTCTATGTCCATAGCTAGTCGATATATCTGGCAGCTTTTATTTTATAGATCAGTATAGTTTCTTCTGCATAAGTTCGTAGGCCAGTAGATCACTTGAAACTCATTGGGCAAAGTTATTTTTTGTTAGAAAGGCTACCTGTGGACAACTGAGAATAAACAATGCTTTGAATTCTCTGTAATGGCATATATAGTTGCTTATGATTGTATTCTTCATTTGTGGTTTCTTGACGATCCATTGCCTTTATATGCTATCTTTTCTTTATGCTCAAAATATTGTGGACATTTTTTTGATGTACATGTTTCTTGTGATTCAGGCCTGATGGCACAAAGAAGGCATAAGTCAGGTTGACACCCGAGTACGATGCCTTGGATGTGGCAAATAAAATTGGAATCATCTAAGCAGTTGTTGACTAGCTTACTTTGAAGGGTTTATCTTTTGTTTTGTTGCAAAGAGAGAGGTACTTTTGCTGCATGTATCATATTACAGAAAGATGTAAGCATGTATCATATTATTTTCTCTCTCTATCATTACATGGTGAAGTCTATACCGGTCTGCAGAAGCAAGGTGGAAAGCAGGGCTTATTTGCTGCATTTGAGGTCTGAAAGAGGGTTTAATGGCGTCCCCATCACTCTGCCTAACAATCACCGACCTCAGCCTTTCTTCTTCATGATTCCTATTGACAACAAGTTTCTCTTTGGGTTCATAATGGAGTCGAATTGGATTCATTCAGGTTGACTGAACCAAGTTTTCTAGTTTTGTAAAGAAATAAAAAGTGGGCAAAATGCATTTAAAAATAATAAAAATGAAATAATTATAAAAAAAGAGTGTAAAACGGCTATGGTATATCGTTCATTCAATCCAAACCCTCAAAAAGTATCAAATTTACACTACCCATCAGCTTTTTAATCTTTACAAAAGTGGAGCCAAAGCTTCTTTCAATACTAATTAAATCCTTTGCCGCTTTGACACTGTGATTTGAGTGTTACCACAAGCACCCGAACTCACAATGGGTGGGTGAATCAGCCCTGAAGCAGAACCAGAACTTGCAAAACTCAACATGGCCGATGAACACATTTGATGAGCTCCACGAGTCATTTCAGGACACAATGACGAGTTCACTCGTTTTCGAGCAAATGGTTTCTCATTCTCAGTTTTAGAAATGGAAACAGGGGGGATTCTTAAAGTGTCGGAAGGAGGAGGGTTTCTCCATTGAGGAAGAGGACCGGCAACAAGCAGCGTCGAAAGGAGAGGCCCGGCTTCCATTATAGCCTGCAAAAGCTTCCCCTTTTCCGGCAAAGTTTTCCCCTTTGCAAGGTTATCAACCACAGCTGTTTCGGCATTAACCATTGAAGGAATCGTCCCAAAGGGTCGATTCAAAAGCCCCATTCCACTCCGATCAGTCATTTTACCGGTGGGGAAATCAGGTGAATTGACGGCATCAAACAAGGAATCAACAGGGGAAGAATGATTATTATATGCGTCTGATAAACTGTTCGATTCAGTGATGCAGGAATTTGTTTTGGCTGCAATCATGAACGGGGTTTCACATGGCAATAGCTTGTTGAGTAACTTCTGCAATTGGTCTCTTGCTTCATCTCTTTCTTGGAAAGCAAGGTTCAGGAGATTGAACATCAACTTCAACTCCTCCTTGTATCTCCTTATTTGCTCATTCGCTTCCATTTTCGCGGACTGTAGCTCCATTGCAGTGTATTGAAGCTTCAGTTTCAAGTCATCAACACTCTGTCAAAACACGAAAATTGAAAACCATTAGCATTAAAAAGGAAAACATAGAGACAAAACAGAAATGAAGAAGAAGAAGACCCACCTCTTGATAATTCCAGAAAGAACCCAAATCTTCCATTTTTAAGGTACTGTCCTAGATGGAAAAATCAAAAGCAATGAATGCCAAGGGAAGAAATTATGAAGAGTGAGAGGGAGTTAAGGAAAGGTCTTTAGTGAGTGATTTATAGAGCAATCAAAGGCAAATAAAGACAAATGGTGTAGACACTCGTTTTCGTGGAGTTATTTTTATTTTTTTTATTTATTTTTTAAATGCTTTTGAAATTATATAATGTATAATTTTCAAAAAACGGTTTTCGAAACTATATATATTTTATAGTTTTTGAAAATAATTTTAAAATATATATAATATATAATTTTAAAAACGGTTTCTTGGAAATATATATATATATATTATAGTTTTTTAAAACATTTTGAAAATAAGTATATAATATATAATTTTTGAAAAACATTTTAAAAACATATATAATATATAATTTTTAAAGCATTTTTGAAAACCAATATATAATATATAATTTTTAAAAAAACATTTTTTTAAAAATTATATAGTTTTAAAAAAAAATTTGAAAATTATATAGTTTTTTTAAAAAAAGACATTTTTGAAAATTTATATATAATATATAATTTTTAAAAAAAGAAACAGTTTTAAACATGTATATTATATAGTTTTTATATTTATTATTATTATTATTATTATTATTATTATTATTTATTATTATTATTATTATTATTACTTTTTTATTTTATTTTTTTCCCGTTTCAGGTCCAAATGGGTCAACTGTCCAGTCCAACAAGTCACGATTAGAGTCCAAACACAGTCAGGCATGAACCAGCCCAAATAGCTAGGGTTTTCACGCTTGAAACAGCGCCGCTCAATAGGGGACTGTTAGATCAGGAGAGATTAATGGTCAACATCACAAGGGAGTTAGGGTTTATCTAACCCTAAAAAAATATCAAGTCGCAGCTAGATCTGGACCGTTGGATCTGACCCAATCCAACGGTCAAGATCAAGTCAAGGAGAGTTCCAGAAGGCTGAACGCCAACAACCACGCACTGGTCAACCCCGAGATTTTCGGCCGAGGAAATCGAGACTGACCCATCCCGAAATCCCCTGCCAACGGCGAGCACGTTACCATGATAATCGGAGATAGCGAACGTCGATTGTGGGTATAAATACCCCACCACCCACAACACCGAGGAGGACAACTATCAACGGGATCGAGAACCCACAGAACGATCGAAACCATAAAATCACCGACCAACAAGAACCATCGAGATCACGAAAGTACCCACAGTCAACAAACATCGAACACGAAACCATCAAAGACAGTTTCATCATCAACCAACAGAACCAAAAGAGCAAAATCGAGAGCAAGATTGAAACCAACATCAAGCCAAAATACCCAAAACGAAATCGAGCCAGAATATCAAATAAGCCAACACGAAACCGACGAAACAAAAGCTAAACAAAAACAAAGACAACCAGAGCATCGAACCAACAAACACAAAAAATGACAATCAAAAGCAATGCAACTACAAGGAAAGCCACCGCAGAACCGAAAGGTTTCACCAAAGAACGTAAAAGTCGCGCCTTTCTAGTTAGATCTACGACGGGGAAGTGATTTTTTGGGTGTTTGGGCTTCGGGTTCGGGTGTGGGACGTTGAGACGAGTGTTTTAAGGGTTTCGATAATTTTTTCGACCACCGACGACAGCAGCTGGCTGGGCGATCGGCGTCCCTCCGGTGAGGGTTGTAGAGAGAAACGAGAGAGAGTGCTCTGTTCTCTCTTTTTAGTGAGAGAAAGAAAATGTAAAATGGGAGATAATGGGCCATTTTGGCTTAAGAGAATGAAATATATTACCCAGGCAAAACGACGTAGTTTTAGTGAGGGGCTTCCTGTATATTTTCACGCACGGGCAAATTATGCATATGGTCCTTATGGTTTGTAATTTCGTTTTATTTTGGTCATCGCATTTATTTTCCAACACTTTAATTCGGGTTTCAAATTTATAACTTTTGCATTTTGGTCCTATGTTTATTTATTTATTTATTTATTCATTATTTTATTTTCTTTTTGTTAATATTTATTTTCATAATATTTTTTTTATTTTCCGATATTTAACCCTTTTTTTACTTTTTTTTCTTATTTTGGGTTTTTTTACTTTATTTTCATTATCGTTATTATTTTTATTAAATCTTATTTATCTCGGTTTATTTATTTTATTATTATTTATTTATTTTATTATTTTATTATTTCCTTATTTTTTATTCAATTCTTTTTCTTTCTTTTGATTTTCTACTTTATTTTGATTTATTTATTTTTCATGTATTATTTTAGTATTTTATTTATTATTATTATTTTTATTTGTTCTTGGATCTATTAAATATTTATTTATTTGTTTTGTTATCTAACATTTGCGACTTTTTTAGAAGATTTCCAACCAATCAAAGATAAGCAATTTGAATCGGATTTTTTAAATTTTTATTTAATTTTTTAATTTTCACAATTAAAGACAACCGATAAATTAATTGGTACCGAAAGGGCGGTTCAAGAGTGCTAATCCTTCCTTGACCGTAACCGAATCCTGAACTCGACACATTTATGGTAAAACGCAGATCAGGTAAGATAGTGTCCGACCCACCTAAATTCATTTTAAATGGTCGGTGGCGACTCTAACCCAATTCATTTCAAGTCGAAGCCCAATTTCGGCCCCAACCAAAAGGCGGCGGTGACAGCTTGGCGACTCCGCTGGGGACAGGTAAGTGAGTCAGGCCGAAAGTAATTTTCGGTTGACTTTTTTGAGAGAAAATAAAAAGTTTAAATTTTAATTTATTTTGCGATTCTTATTATTTATCTTTGATTTTTTTAAATAAATAGTTGTACTGACGGTTTTCTCAATGATTTCAACTTGTCAAAACTTATTTTTCATCTAAGGCTCTAAACCCGAGCTCCAAACCCGTTTTAAGTGGGGGTGAAAGCGACGCCTACGTGTGAATTTATTCACCGTGCGGGCCTAGCAAGTAGTCTTCGGGATTCATATACCTTATGTCTTCGTGTGAATTTATTCACCATGCGGGCATAAGGGAATGTTTCATCTCGAATTTAACTTAGTCCACACAAGCTTGTAATAGGCTTAGGACTAAGGGTCTGGCAAGCCCAAGGATGCACCAGCAAGGAGAACTCGAGTACCTTTTTAGAACCTAAACCGGGAGAGTACAGGGAATTAGAGCCCACCCCAAAACCTCATTCCAAATCCTAGGTTGCTTTGATTTTATTTCATGCTTTACTTTCTATTCAAAGCATGCGAACTAGACAAATATACGTTTTAAGATTTGTTTGTAATTAGCATGCAGGATAGAGATCATGTCCGGGTAGGAACAATAAGCATGTGGGGTAGATATCATATGGGGTAGGACTTTTTATTTTCATCATTTTTATTATTATCCTTATCTCACTAACTTTTTCCTTTCATTTTTGTTCTTTTACATTTTTTATCATTTTCATCATTCAAAAGAGGTGTTGATCCACCAAAAACGTGTTTGTTAAACATGAATAATCTGCATTAATGGACAAAGAGGTTGTAATACAAGAGATGAAAATGCATAGGACAGTCTACAAGGCAACTATGTGATGTGGTGCCCATAATTGAAGAGTATGTCA